TCCAGATAAGGGCCAAATGAACAAACGATGTCAAAGTGCATCCTCATTATCTGAGACCTATGAAGAAATAAGTCTCCTTTTCTGCAGAGTAGATTTGATCAAACTCACCCACAGCTGTAAGCCCACAGTATAAAATCGCCACATCAAGTCCTCTGTGAACATTTCATCTTAGACAGTAGGTACCAACTACTCACTTAAGGAAAAGTGAAATCACTTTTATCAAGAACACGCGGTCAGAAAAAGAACTGTGATTCTGCTAAACTCACTTAGAAGCCAGCTCAATACAGCTTTCCTCTGATAAGCCCTACAGATCTCTTCCTTTCAAAATGACCACTCCTCCTTCCATCTCAGGCCTCTAAGGCCTGTTCCGCAACTAATCTGACACCTTTCTAGACTTTGGAACCCCAGGCTCCACCACGCCTTATCCCTACCAGATTTCCACTCTCTTGCGGGCTCTGGTAGCAGTTTTTGGAAATTTACACATGCACAAAAATGTCCATGAACTGACAAAGCAAGGCTTGGGGCCTAACCCTGCTCCCCTCAACTCTCATAAGTGTCCTCACAAATCTCAGATTCCCAAAAACCCGCTCCTTTCGCTTGGAAAGGTTGGCTCTTAACGTTAACCGTTCAGCTTCCACAGCCCCAACTAGTTCTGGTTCCTGTGGCCCTTTCCTGTTTCTCTCTTCGGGTGTTCGGGTTCTCGGCCGCAGCTCACACACTCAACCTGTTTCCTGTCTGTAGGATCCCTGGAGGCTGGGAGCAGGCCCAGAAGAAGCCCCCCCCCTCCACTCCCAGGGCCTCCGGGATCTAAAAAGGGAAAGGGCCCGGCCTCCCCTAGACTCTCGTTCTTCCACTGTCCACGCCCCAAACTGTCTTTACCTAGGCTCCGCGACCACCTCCGCCACCCTCCGAACATCCCGCGCTGCAGCCCGGGCTCCCCCAGCCCCCTGCTTCCGGGCTTCCCCGCCAATTCTGCTTCCGGTGCTCGGCCTCTCCCCGCCCCGAGCAGGTTCCACCGGTCCGCTCCCCGGCCCCGACCCCGGCCCCGACCCTCCGCGCCACTCGCTCGTGGGCTCTCACCGCTCGAAGAGCAGCCGCACGGAGAATATGCCCGCCGCCACTGGGAATGCCGAAAGGATGTGTCGCGCCCGCGGGTAGCCGTAGCCGTCGCCCGGCCCCTCAAGGTCGGCCCAGCTCACGTTCTGGGGCAGCCAGAAGCGTTCGCTCCACAGCCAACTCCACAGCAGGCCCAGGGCTCCCGCCGCCGCTGTCGCCATCTTACGCCCGCCCCGCGGCCACCGCCGCCACAGCCTCAGCTGCCGCCACAGCCAACGGAACCCGCGGGGAGGCGGACCCGGGGCGGGGCCGAGCCGGCAGCCACCCCTTCCGGCCCCTTCGGGTCCCCGACCCGTCTCAGCCCGCCTCCTCCATGGGGCCGGGCCTCTTCACCGCCCATCTCACCTCCCCGCCCACCCACCCGCCTCCCGGACGGCAGCGGCAGACACCAGGGCCGCCTCTCCTTGGGACCCCTCCCCCCGCCGGGCCATGCCCCTCCCATCTCCGCCCCGCCTCCACCTGCCCCGCAGGCCCTCAATTCTGGTCCCGCCCACTTTTGCTGTGAGTTTCAGCCACGCTTTCTCTCTCTCTCTCTCTCTCTCTCTCGCTCTCTCGCTCTCTCGCTCTCTCGCTCTCTCGCTCTCCTCTCTCTCTCTGTCTCTGCCAGCCACGGCCACACCCCTTATTTCAGGCCTAGCTCCCTTAAGGGGACACTCCTCTTTCTCAACCCAGCAGTTTCAAAGGCTGTTCCCGCTGCCAGGCAGTCCAGACCTGCGTCTCTGCACCTAGCAGAACAGGCTTTCATTGGGGTCTACCTCGCCATCTCGGATGGTTCCGCCTAACCGCTCTTCCTTCCACCTCTAGCGTGTTTTGTTCCTAACATTTTCCTTCCTTTGAGTCCTTCCATGATCTCAATTCCCTTTCACTGTTTTATCCTCTAAAATGAACTTTTCAAAATCCTTTTATTTTTCTCATGGGTAAAAGGAAATGGGAAAATAGCCAAAGGATATCATACAAAGAAAAGTACAAAGAAAAAGAAAAATAAATGATAGCGAATATTTAATGAGGCTTACCAAGTGCCAGGTACCGCACTGAACATTTTACACCAGGTATTTAACTCCATCATTCTATGAAGTAGGTATTGTTTTATTTACTATTTTATGGATGGGTAAACTGAGGTCCATAGAGATCAAACAGCTTGCCCAAAGTTATATAGGATTGTGGTAGAGTAGGGCTTCTGAGCTAGAAAGTCTTTAGACTCTGAAACACTGAGCCCTTATAAACCTCCTTAATTTTAGGTTTGCACAGTAAACATTTAACTCTTTTGTGGATCTACACAAAAAAGAAGGGAGCCACAGACAAACCTTCAGAAAGCTAAATTCAAAATGTCCCTCAACTGCCTGAGATTCCTGACCTCTGGTTGCTGTCTGTTCAAACCTGGCTACAAGGTTAATTACCACAGGCTAACTAGAATGATCTGAAAAAAGATTAAAAGAAATTAATCTCTACCTCTTGTTCAAGGACAGATAAAGTAACTTTATAACTAGTAAGGTATGCCTACACCAGAAGTTAAGAGTTTCAAGGGGACAGGAAACAGGAGAAAAAAGTGTGCCATCCTAAGTAGACTAGGTTTGCTTTAGCTCAAAGGTTCTCAAATTTAGGGTACCACAGCCCAGATATTAGCTTGTCCCATCTCCCACATGGAGAGTTTGCTAAAAGGTTTCTTTTAGCAAAGAGATTCTGCTTCTGATTCAGGAGGTGAGTCTGAGTGGGGCCTATGAGTTTGCATTTCTCATTTTTAACAAACTCATAGGCAATGCCACTGCAGCTGGTCTGAGAACCACAACATGGTGCCATGTTTGTCCAAACCCAGCAATAGCTTAGTGGTAACTACCACCCTATATTCAAGGTGTATTGTATTGTATTGTATTGTATTGTATTGTATTGTATTGTATTGTATTGTATTGTATTGTAGTAATGTTTACTTATTTTTGAGAGAGGGAGTAAGTATAAGCAGGGTAGAGGCAGAGAGAGAGAGAGAGAGAGAGAGAGAGAGAGAGAGAGGATCTGAAACAGGCTCTGTGCTGACAGCAGAGAGCCTGATGAGGGGCACAAACCCATAAAGCGTGAAATCATGACCTGATGCTTAACCAACTGAACCACCCAGGCACCACAAGGGTGAACAAGAAGTGAACTCTCGCTGATTCCTGGGAATTCAAATCAGAGCCCCAGGGGACAAAGAATTTGGCACGTGGGCCCAAGCACACAGCGATCTTGGTCTCAAGGTCTATCCCCCCCAAAACACATTTGTACCATTTCTCGACATCTTGAGTGTGAGAAAATATATAGTTAAGGAAATGTGTAATGAATGTAAACTTTCTGCCACTTTCACTTTGTCCAGGAGTGATTCAACCAGCAAGCTGGTAGAACTAAGTTGGTCCTGTAGTAGTCATGAAGAGTCTCCTTAACCATCTCAGGTTACAAGCTGGCCCCTTTTCTTGCTTCACCAACAGGACCTGTTGCCACCACTGACCTACCAAGCCCAAACAAGTTGCCTTCATTCAGAAAGCTGAGAGAAACACTTTGGCTGTAGGTTCTTTTGTTTTCTAAGGATGTTTAGTGTTACCTGGTCATTCTCTTGATAAGAACCACCTTTTATTATATTGATATGGAGCTAGTCCTTGTTTCTACTCTCTGTCCCTATAATATATCTGTCTTAGTCTTTGAATGGCAAAGAAAACATTTCTTCTAAGGTTAATCTCAGTCCCTGCATACCTGATATATGGTGACATACTCAACTGATATCCATAAATACTGGCCATAGGTACTCAGACTTTTTTGTATAAAATCAGTAGGCTCAGTGAGTACCATGTGGATGGGTTGGAGCAGCAGAGTCATACAGTAAAGGCAGCTAAACTCAAGCCAGGATTCGATAGTTTATGAATGTCATCAGGAGCTTCTGGATTAACTGTTCAGTGAACAGGACTTTCTAAAGGACTTCAGCCTGTGATGGGACCAAGAGCAGAAAGTAGTACCCTGCCATCCATTTGGAAGACCAGGCAAGACCCTGGAACATGTAACAGATGACTCAAAAAGTGTGTTTATCTCCAAGGAAATCCACACTCCCACACTTCCATTAACAACAACAACAACAACAACAAAAAGTGTTTTAACTATTGGGGCAGTTGCCTCTACAGGCAAGGAAATCAAACAACCAACTATGCCTCTGCCCAGGGTGGAAAACATCCATTTTCAAGCAGAGACATTTGGAAATTCCCTTTAGCATGTTAGGCATAATTGCAAGGTGAATTATTAAATGTTGAGTACAATTAACAATAAAAAACCACCACCAGAGTTTGAATTGTTAAAACACACAGCTCATTTTGAATGTACACACTAAGTTTCTTGCCAAGTTGCTCTCAATTTTTCAGAAAAATTTGTCCTCTTTTAGGAAAGATCAAAGCCCAAGATCGACCCAATGTCACCACCTAGTGGGGAGATATATTCATAACACCTCTCTTCACTTAAAATGCATCAGACCCACGTGCCTTTCTTCCCAGACTGCTAAAGTAAAAGGTCTTGAGACACTGTCATAATGTAAAATAATAATGGAAAAGGAACATTGAAAAGTTTAGATGTAAATTAAAAGCTTTATTGAATAAAAATGTTTCAGACTAAGCAAGACTATAAGAAAGCAGAATATTTTACATCTCTAAAAAATATTAGAGCTAAATCTCTAAAAATGCAGGACAAAGAAAAGCCTATGGCTTAAAACATCTCTCTCCCCACATACAATTTGGAATATCGATTATGTACAACAAGTGTACTCAAGTTTATGTTCCAAAGCCTTAACTACTAGAAACCCCCCCCCCCCCCCCCCCCCCCCCACAAAGGCCTGTAATTGGTTTAATTGCACCCTGGGAATACTGTCTGCCATAAAAATCAATACATTTCAGAGCTGGTATGTATTTAAAAAACTAGTGTCCCAGAAAGGGGATATCAGAAGTGGAATACAGGGCGTGGGGGTCTGAGCTCAAGTGAGTTAAGGCAGTTTTTTCCGTTATTCCTTCTTTAAACTCCTCACTTTGCTTTAACATGCAACATGGCAAACAGCAGTACAAAAGATCTTATAAAAATACTGTCGTTTTCAGTATATGATGAGCCCATAGATACCACCAAAGAAGAAAGCAATCACTTGGGGTGTAGTCAGACTCATTGGCAAATACCAGAGCTTATTTGAGAGAGAGTGGATCTCTCCAAGCACCAAATGTGCTCAAAAAGTGCCCCAAAAGAACAGTTGTGTTATATCTCAGTAATCCAATTCAGGATGTGGCTTACAGAATGGGATGCAAAGCAAGAAATTCCCCATGTATATCAGAGTGAGAAAATTAACCTAAAAATGTTTTAAAGATTATATATTTGATTTCTTAACAGATGAATGCTAAATAAATTGGTATTCATTTAAAAATATACAAACTGTGCCCTTTATACTAAAGTGCGTTCAGTCATGTTTAGGTCCCTAACCCCCTTCTGTGTGTTCCCTAATTCCATAGTTGAAGTGCGACAATGTGCTACTAATGGTCTATTTTTGTACTGCCTTTTGGGAATACAGTGGAGTCTGAACTACATCAGTTGGCATACCCGCCCCCCGCCCCCATAAGACCTTAAAGCATTTATGTATATCATCATTGCTAAAATAGAGGACTGAAGTAATATTATCTATAGCGTTTAGAATTGGTTCACTTAAGCTGCAGTATGGGATTTTTTTGAAGCAAGAACTCCTCCAGAACTGCTTCCACATAAATGACAGTTCATGCTAAGACACCTGTTTACGGTGCATCACTTTGATAAAGGGCAGTGGCTTGCTAACGCTAACACAGATTTAAGGCCCAGCACCGTTGCAGTCTGTCATTCCTCATCATCCTCATCCTCATCGTAGTACCGATTTCTTTTTATCTGTTCCTCCACAGACAGCTCCTTGACTACTTCTCCCTCCCAGAATCCCACATCCTGGGATTTCTGATGCTGGGTAGTGAATTCTTTAGGGGAGGTGCTTTCTGCAAAGCTGGACCAATTTGTAGACTTCGGTTCTAGTGGGGACTGCTCTTTGAGGTTTCTATCATTTTCATCTAAGCTTGCACCATTTTCTATAAGATTCTCACTCCCCATCTCGAAACCATGATCTTCCTTACTTCTCCTCCCTGCCTCCCCTCCTTTAGATTCTTTGTTTTGCCTGGTTGTTTTTCCCACACTACCATTCTTTTCGGAGGCACTGGCATTTTCCACTTGTTTCCTTTCTGCTGCCATTCCTCCTATAAACTCCTCACTCTGCTCTGACATGCTCCAGCCTTTCCTTATAGGTGGGGATAGGATTTTGGGGCTCTTGACTGAAGTGGTTCGAAACGAAGCTGCCACAGTGAATGGACGGCTTCTTTCCTTCAGTGAAGAAGATCGTCTTAGCTTCTTCAGATCCAGATCCACATCCTCGGTAGCTTCAGGCTTGCTGATTTCATCCTCAGGAGGCCATTTGGGCTTGGATACTTTGATCCCTTCCTCTAAGGTACTTCCTGAACTACCAAGTTCAGTGGGGGGTGGCCAGGCTATCTTCAACTTCTTGGTTTCAGCTGGCTTGTCTTCTTTCTCTGGCTGAGAGGATGCCTTGGCTTCCATACTTGCTGTAAGCACACCCACCTTAGCAATGGGGGCATCTTCGACCCCTGGGCTCTGAGGGGTCTCCCCTGCAATTGGAAGCTGGGCTGGTCTCTCCAAAGTCCCTTCATTTTCATTTTTGCTTGCCCACAGATCCTTGTGTGGTCTGTGTCCAAAGCCTTCATCATAGTTGCCTTTAGCTTTAAAGAGTTGATTGAAGTGAGGCTTACAGTAGATTCTCCCATGTAAAGATGCATATGTTCCTAGACTGTTGTTAAAAGAAAAAGAACATAACGTTGAGGTATCTATATACTCTTACTTATACTAGCAGGCTGAAATTTGGCAACTTCAGTATTTTCAGAAGTTGCTAAGTGAGAAAAATACCTTTAAAAGCACATCAATCGCTTAGGATTCTTTACCCCCTCCCTTTCAAGCACGTTTGTTTTATTACCCTTATAAAAAACATGCTCACTTCTAGGCCTAAAGCTTCACAAGACATTCATGTGGTACATCTTCCTATTTTCAAATGATTTCACTCCCCTCTGTCAAAACTGTTAAAAAAAAAAATTTCTTCCAAGAAGTCTTACCCAGGTTATCCCACCTATCTCTGACCACTCACATATTTCCTAAGCATTTATAACCTTTCACTACTTATAATGATATTTTCCTTTGTACAAAGCTGAATCATTTTCCTCCTTGTTTCCCATTTGTGTTATAATTTAAAAATACATATCTACAGGAGTAGGTATAATGCTTTGCAAATGGTTTGCACTCACAAGACACTAGTGAATGAATGTGGTTAATAGGAGCACAGTAGCTAGGAAGTAAATCTACCCTAATGTCAGTGCTGGACAGGCCTTTAGGAGAGTTGGTGTCTCTTGCAGGGTAACACAGTTCGAAGAGGGTATGAAAACAACAGCATTTCCACAGAAGAGATACAAAAATTCAGAAGCTTAGAAAAATATGCTTTGGAGAAAAAAAGTAATACCGTGGGCAGAAAAAGAACCAAGGAGCGGAAGTTACAGAGGAACGTTTTGGCTCAACAGAAGGAAAAGTTGTTGGGCTGGAGCTACCCCACACTGGAACAAGGTAGTGCGGTATCGACCCCTGTGGAAGTGCCACACAGACGCCAGCACGTCTTTCAAGAGTATTTTCATTTATTTTTGAGAGACTGAGTGAGGGGCACAGAGAGAGGGAGAGAGGGAGAGAATCCCAAGCAGGCTCCGTGATGTCAGCACAGAGCCCGATGCAGGGCTGGAACCCATGAACTGTGAGATCATGACCCAAGCCAAAATCAAGAGCTGGACACCCAGCTGACTGAGCCACCCTGGTGCCCCTCAAGAGTATTTTAGAAGGAATGCTTGCTCTGAAAGGAAAGCTGGAGGAAGTGACATCCTGGTTACTTTCTTCTCTAAAACTCTATGATTAAAATGAGTTCATATGGAATATGTCCCAAATGGCCACATTTATATCCATACTTTGAGTTACTTGGAAGAAATGATAATTATTTTGTCACACATAAAAAGAAGCAATATACAGAATATGTGCTCTTCAGTGCCCATTATCATTGCTATTATTACCATTTACACAGTGTTTGGGACATTTTCAAGTAAGGGCTGAAACAACTACACTCTTTTTTTTTTTTTTTTTAATTTATTTATCTTGAGAGAGGCAGAGAGAGTGCAAGTGGGAGAGGGGCACAGAGAGAGGGAGAATCTCAACCAGGCTCTGCGGTGTCATTGCAGAGCCCGATGTAGGACTCGAACTCACGAAACTGTAGATCAAGACCTGAGCCGAAATCTAGAGTTATATGCTCAACTGACTGAGCCACCCAGGCACCCCTAAACTCTTAAGATTTCTTAGCTTTAAAGGGGCGCCTGGGTGGCTCAGTCAGTTGAGCATCCGACTCTTGGTTTCAACTCAAGTCATGATCTCACGGTTCGTGGGTTCAAGCCGCACATCAGGCTCTGTGCTGACAGTGTGAAGCCTGCCTGGGATTCTCTCTCCCTCTCTCTGCCCCTCCCAAGCTCGCTCGCTCTCTCTCTCTCTCTCTCTCTCTCTCTCAAATAAATAAATCAACTTAAAAAAAAAAAAGATTCTGTGAGACCAAAGGAAAATATTCTACTAAATTAAGTCACGGGGGGGGTTTTACCTGCCACCCATAAGATTTAAGCTCCATGTAAATTAAAATATCAATGTACTAAGATGTTCCAAACACCACTATCATTTGATATGAAATACTTGTCACTAAATGATACTTTTTATGTTTTTCAAGGGCTTTCAACAGTGTGCTCTTGGCATAACAGCTTTTAGCACCAGTGCTCTAAAAGCCAAACATGCCCTCTGGAGGTCCAACTGTACAGAGATAGCTGGTTTGGTTGGCTTACCTAAGTTTGTTGTTGCAATAGGAGCACCGGAAGCAACTGATGTGAAACACCTGCTGGTTGGCTAAGAGACGCTCCATCGGGTAGACTGTCTTCTGACATTCCACACAAGTCTCTCTTGCAGGTGCCTGAAACTTCTAGGAAAAGGAAAAGGGCAGCTTTAACAAGCACTGGCCAAGATGAGTCAGTGCTCTGCTGAGAGGCACCCTGCTTTTACTTTGTCAGCTAAAGGCTCCCTTACCTGTCAATTCTCACAGGAACACTAAGCCTGTTATGATTCTCTTAAAGAGTTCTCTTTAAGGCCAGGAAGCACTCCTGAATTCCTTTCCCCAACTGCCTGGCTGCCCCAAGTGTAGCTGCCACCAAGGACAGGTGGAGCTAGGGCTGGATTGCAGAGAGAGGCTTAGACAAGCCACCACATACACACAAAAGCACATAAAAAATGTTTCCACAGACAGGAAATTAGGAGAAAATGTCATCACACACAGAAGTTTATTTGATTCAAGTGCCTAGTAAAAGCAGGACAGACTTTTGTAAGATTCTGAAGGGGATAAATTTAAAGGAGAGGAAGAGCATTTAACTTTGGGGATGAGGAAAAGACAATTTGATAAAGTATCTTTTAGTCCCCTCTGCTTATACTCTTAATTTGGCATATTATTTTACCCACTAGGCATAATATTTTGAAGTAAGTCAAAGCTGACAGATAAATGTAATAATTTTAAAGAGACAAACTATTTTATTAGGACATCCAGAAGACAGCACAGCCCAACAAAGCTAGAATCTTCTCAGAAACCAATGGAGAAGGGCCCCTGGCTGGCTCAGTATGGAGAACTTGCCACTCTTGATCTCAGGGTTATGAGTTAGAGCTCCACGCTGGGCATGGAGCCTACTTAAAAACAAAAACAAAACAACTCAGTGGAGAATAAAACTACTGTAATGGGGAGTGAAAGGTCATAATAGACTAGGAATTCATGAACTGTCTATAAAGTGTGGAATAAAAGTGGGGTGAGCACAGGTGTTCTAGCTGGTACTACCAATCCTAAATAACACCAAATAGTTGGTATTCCAGCATTGATGAAAGCCAGAATTACCAAACTGCAAGTTTTTACATAAGCAATGGTAACATGGCCACCAGGGGTGGGGGGTAAGAAGTCTCTAGGTATACGTAAATAACTCTTACCCCAAGAGAAACACCTTATCCAGCAAATGCAGAAGCAGCTCAGGTGGCCAGGAAGCTCTCAGTAGACACCTGGGGAAGGCTTTGCTGCCAGGACCCGGGTGGTGGTAAATAACATAAATTAGTCCCGAGGTCCAGGACCTGAATAGTTAAGATAAGCCTAAAAACAAACCAGGTCATGGGCAAGACAGAATTTTCATTACAAAAACCCGAAAATAGTCCCATAAAAAAAAAATCAGACTGCTGGTTCACTTGCTATATGATTCACCAGGAAGTAAAGCAAAAAATAGGAATGGTTTTCCAAGTAGATTTGGATAGGAAACAAAAGTAGAAAATGGACCAAAAAATGGCCATAAAGGGAAAGCTCTATAAAAGGGAGTTTATTAGAGTTTAGTGGTAAACTCCCAAACAGCACCAAGGGATTTAAGAATGAAGGAAGAGAACTGAGTGGAAATGGCTTATCAACAGTCCTCTTCCATTCCTAAGGTTAGAGTCCTAAAAAGAAAAACTGTAATAATTAAAGACAGGTTCAACCTAGTTTACCAAGTGTAGGGGAGGTACTTAAATATGATCAAACGTTATTGTAATTGAATGCTGTTGGAAGTAATTAGGGCATTTTTTGGAGCTCGAATTTTTTTTTTTTTTATGTTTATATATGTTTAGAGAGAGAGAGGGAGACAGAGCATCATGGGGGAGGGGCATAGAGAGAGGGAGGCACAGAATCTGAAGCAGACTCCAGGCTCTGAGCTGTCAGCACAGAGCCCGATGTGGGGCTCGAACTCATGAACCTGCGAGATCATGAGCTGAGCCGAAGTCGGATGCTTAACCAACTGAGCCACGCCCCAGAGTTCAGAATTCTTATATGACCACTTCTAACAAGACAGGACTAAGTGGAGATGTCATTGCATAGTTTTAATTGGGTTTTCTTCGAAAAGAACTAGGTCCTTGTCTAGCAAGCAGGAAATACGTTAAAATGCAAAATAAAATTTGGGTATCATAGTACAGTTGATGGCATTGGGGAGATCCTGTACAGATCACTGTTCACATAATGTAAAAGTAATCGGTCAAATGTATTTATTTATCAGATTAAAAATCTTTTTCAGCTGCAGGGGACTTCTGTATTTTTAACACTTGACTTAGAACAGTATTCATTCTGGTCAGTAAAGACAAAGCAGAGGACGGGAATTTCACACGGTACGAGGGGAGACGGGCATTATTTATTCTGCTAATGGGGAACGAAGACCTACAGAGCACTCCTCCATTACAAACATACAGAGAACACACTGTAGGAGGGTGCGCGGCCCAGTGAACAGAAAGGAAAACCTGAGAGAAAGCTGAAAGCTGAGCTCACGTTAGGAGGAAAGTGGAAGGCAGGAGCAGAAATTAGGTACCGGAGCAGGAAGCAGAAGCTGGAAGAGACAAACAGGAACCTTCAATGAATACACAGCATTTGGAGTGCCCTGGAGCGCTTTACCACAGCTGAGCTGAAACTCAGGTGCAGGCTCCGATCCAAGAATAAGACCATGTTTGCTTTCTTTTTCAAGTATTTCTACTAATTGTGGCTAAATCAGCCTCACTCGTATCTACCTGAGGCTGGAACATGTCCCAGCTCAGGAGAAAGAGCTCTTCTGAGCTTTCACCCACACGAGGAGTGTCTCATTAACAATTCTTTAGTGTCTTACCACCTCCCACACCTGACCCACAATGGCTCTCTCCTGAATGGGGGCCTTCGCCCACACAACTGAAAGGCCATCCTCCTTCTCCTCAACATCAAATTAATAGACTGCTAGCCCAAACATCTGACTAACCACAAGCTCCTAACTAGCCAGACCTATCAGAGTCTCATTATTCCCATCCAGCTTTTTACACAGACCCTTTGCAATAGTATTTAATGTTTATGCGGCAGCTGCCCGAGGGCCCCAGAGTTTCATAAAGTCAAGAGGATCCCAACTTGGTAATGTGCCAAATCAGAGTGGCTGTGTCTGTGCCTTCCCTTTACTTCCTCTGTCCTGGGCTCTCAGCCACTTTTCTGGAATTGCCCCCATGTCTATTCAGACAACAGGAAGCACAGTCAGTGCCCAAAAATCTCCACCATTATGGTAGGCCTGGCATACATCCTGCCCATGCCTCCATGGCATGCTTGGACCTGGCGCAGCCACGTTTTAAAATGCTGCCAGCATCAGAACGTTAGACGGTTTTTAATCTTTCATATATTTTTCAGTCAGTAAGATATTTTTCATCTCTCCTCCCTCTTTTTCACATGTAGAAACTGCAGCACCAGAATGTCAGGTGCCTTATCAAGGCTCACATGGTCTGTAGCAGACTTCAAATTAAAACTTGGAACTCCCGACTCACAAACCAAGAGAGCACTTTCTAAATTATCCTGGAATGTTAATTTTCCATAACGAAAGGAAACTCCTTGGGGATGCGAGCAGATGCTAACCCAAATGAAAATAATCTCACTTGAGCATTTGGAACAAACTACTTGTTCAAACTACTTCCTCCCTTTGTTTCAAATTAAAATATGTAGATAACATCTTCGGGATATTCAGGAATGAATGAGGTAATACATACATAATTGATGTTCATAAACACTGTCACGTCTTTCCCATATGACAGGTCTTTAAGTAGGTGGTCAGCACCTACTTAAAGCTACTTTTCCAATAAATTGCTACATCTGCATTCTTTCACCCTCTTGCCTTATGTCTATGTTTCAGTCCAATGAAAGCTCTAGTTGGGAGATGATATATATGTAACACACATAATATATAGAGAGAGAGGGGGTAGCTGGCAACAAGCAGTAAAGCTAACTAACCTTTGGACGTGGTGAAGTCAGAAGAAAATTCTGTATTGATGTCAGGCTGCCATTCCTCAGAACACCACAAAATGCCTTTCATTCCCTCCTTTCCAATCTGTGCAAAATATCTAGGTAATTAAACTGAAATTCTTCGCATACAGTAAATGGTTGGGCCAGCTCTGTGCAGCCTTGGCCCTTTCCCTGGCTTTCTGTGAAACTCTTTTTGACAGCATTCTGGAGATACGCACATCTTAGATTGCTCTACATATAGAGGAAAGGTTAGTGTTCTGATAAAGCAGTAATAACATAGACAGGAAATAAATAAATAGACACATAAATAAATAAATAAATAAATAAATAAATAAATAAATAAAAGATTCTAGATGACCTTCTAGCATAATTCTGATAGCTTTGCAAAATAGCATAAAACCTCCTACCCTGTCCAGAGAAGAAGGGACAGCTGACAGGGCACAGAGGGGGTGCAAAGTGTGTGTCCTCTCATGCAGTCTGCCATCTTTTCTCTCCACATCCATCAGCAGCGAGGGTCTGTCCTAATGAGGGCAAGTGGGTGTTCCCATGGCTGGTCACATCTCCTTGCCTTTTCCTATCCTCCTTTCTGGAAACATTTAAGGGACAACTTCTTTCAGGGGAAGGACATAAACCCCAAGAGACCTCTGGGTCTCTTGAGTAGAAAAGTCCTGATCCTTCCCCCAGGGTCCACTGAGCTCTGCTCCCAGAACACCTCTTTTGAGAATGAACCTGCAACTTGAATTTCATCGGCACCAAGTCCCACCAACTGAGCTATCCGGCCAGTGTCCAAAATACACAAATAAAACTCATACTTGTAAAACTAGTATCATTTTTTTTTGTTTACTTTATCAAGCTAAAGTTTGAAATGAATCTCTACCTTAGATGCCCTATTTTCAATAATAGATAGACAAGCACTAAGGAACAGTTTTTCCAGGATGTGTGGGACCTAAAAATCTATTCTGAGTGAGCAAGTTTATTCTTAGCTGTATGTAATTTCCCCAAGTGCAGAAACAACTTCTGTTGCATAGTCTACTACCACGACACCAATTACATCAGTAGGTCTTACCTATAGACACTAAAATGTGTGTGTGTGTGTGTGTGTGTGTGTGTGTGTGTGTGTGTGTCTGTACTTGCCTTCAGAATGTAATGGATAAATCTGAGGAAGAGAAAATAAACTATCCTTAAATAAGAGTGGAGATGTGATTGAGTCCCATCTGTATCCCACACCATAATCCTTTGAGCTCTGGACCACAGGCAAACACAGGGAACCGGGTCCATTTACTCCAGTCTTTACACAACACTCAAAACCTGAGGTGTATGTCTGCTGAAAGCATGCCTGTCTGCATTCTACTGCTGAGTGACCAGAGGAAGCAGCCATGGGTCTGGGGCAGGTGCACAGGGGGCTTCATCTCCACCTCCTCTTGTCCCTGGTTATGCTGGGAGGGACCCAAGTGAGGTGCACTCTGTCACTCATCACTCAGCAGCTCAGATCCTGGAGCCTACGTCAAGAAGGGACCTCAAAAGTCCAACCCAGTACCAGGAGGTCTGACCTAGCAGTTGAGGGAGGGAAACAAGACTGGGTTGAGAGTTCAAATACACTCAAGAACAGATTTTAGTTCTTAGATAAGCCACAGAATTTCCCTAGTCCCTAAGTCCATTGCTAAGTCAGATTTGTTGGCTGTTCTTGATCCAGAACCGCAACCCAAGGACTCAAATCTGGGCAGGGTTGCTGTTGGAAAAGAAATTAACCCCATGGCATTTGCTACTTTGTTGGACTCCAGATACCGGACAAAGGAAGTACTGATAACAGCGTGAGCTGGTCTTTCAGGTCAGAAGAGGGAGTCGTATTGAATACATGTGCAGCTCTATCACCGTAACTCCATTTTCCCTCCCTTTACTTGCATTCTCTTATTACTTTCTTCACCTTTTGCTCCTTTTCAACAAACTTCACTCTCCTCATAAATCTCAGCTTCCCATAAAATTTTCATTTACATTCTTCACCCCCCCTTTCCCTTTTTTTAACTCACCCTTTAAATCCCGTATTCTCTGCTTCCTTCTTTTTGTTGCAAACCTTCACCTATGTCCTCTTTTCATCCTTTTTTGTGCACTAGAACTTTCATCAAGGCACCAGTCATGCCCACAGTTGAGAGATACCCACAGCGCTGATCCCAGTTACATACCATCTTAACACTAATTCTACCTACTGAGTTTCTTTCAAATGTTAAAACTTTCTAAACAAAACCAGGCCACTGAAGAGAGCACCAGAGGAGAAAGACACTAAAGAAGTGTGGGTATGTTTGGTTATTAATCCAAATGGCTACATTAGCACCACAGTAGCAAAGCATTCCATTAAAACAAGTCAGGTAATAAAGCCTAAAATAGGTGTTGGGTATTTTTTTTTCTTAAACTTTGTTTATTTTTACGAGAGTATATATTTGTCCACAGAAAGGGAGAAGACTGTTTTTAAAACCTGGTGAATAAAAGGCAGCCACAGTTTAAGTAGCCTAGTGAAGTTTTCTTAGGATAAAAAAGTCTGTACATTCCTTAACACCTAATATTATACACCCTAGTATAAGTGTTACTTGAATGCCCATTTTTATAGCAAATGGGCTGGCCAACCCCCACTGCGATGTACACATTCTTTAAATAAATTAACCACTAATCATGTTATGGTCAAGTTCTTTAGACCAGGGAGCCACTAACTTTAAGTTGACATGCACGTTCCCACCCAACGAGCTGATTTAGTTTAACAGATTTCTTGAGTTTCCCAGTTTGTGGTCTTTTACCCCTTCACAGATTTATGGACTTTGGGCATTTTTTTCCCTCAAAAAACATAATTTTCTTTAACTTTGGGTTTCCTTAAAACTTTCATGAATTTTCCATATTTCAAAATGAGAGCTATTAGTGAAACTCTCCCCTCCTGGCTCAAACATTTGAGCAGAAAAAACAAGATTTCCAGGGAAAGTGATTGGCATAAGTAAGCCCTTATTTGGTGTTTTTACCCCCAGGAAAGCAAAAATAAGTTATAATGAACATAAATGGTATAAAGTGCAATGAGCTCTACCAGTAAACCAATGTCTAAAGGCTCAGAGAGAAATTGCCATCATACCTTCAATGCTTTGGGAGGAGAACTCTCAGAGAGGCTGGAGGCTCTGGCATCTGGATTTAGTGGCTTGGGATGGACAGGCTGCTGGACCTCACTCTTAACCAGGAAGTTACCTGCTTGAGTTTCAAAAGGAAGAAATTTTATAGCACCTCTTGGCAAGTCTCAGAAATGGTTCCCCTCCAAAACAAAGTTTTGTCACCTTCACTACAGGACAGGTCCTTTCCACGCCAGGAGATACACAGCTTTTCTAATGCTAAAAGCTTTGCTCTTAGACTCTGAGCTGGGAGGCTTTCTCACCCTTAGCCACACACAGCAGAAATCCAAATCACCAGATCTGAAGAACTTTCTGCCAGCCCCCGTCCCCACCCCCCCACCGTGGGATGTTATATTTAAAGGCTGTTTGTAGACATTGATGGCTTTTCTGGTAGTCAGCACCCCTCAATAACTCCTTCTGGAGTTGGAAAAATGAAGGAATGTGAGGGTGGAAATTTCATATCATGTGCATGTGCACACGTGTGTGTGTGTGTGTGTGTGTGTGTGTGTGTGTGTGGTGTGTAATCTGACAGTCTTTTTAGTCAATCCTATAGCAGACATCCATGGATGAAGATTATGGAAAAAGGCTCTATGAGGTTTTTTTTTTTTCCATAATCATTGATGTGTCACCTGGATAAGTTAATTTCCTGCTAATATATTAACTGCGGAAAACTCTGAACAGGCACAGAAAAATGCTACTAAGGAACCATTAGAGAATTCCTTAAAATCTAGAGTTAAGTCAACAAAGTACTAAAAGACTTAGGCTTATTTTTCAAATGTTTTGCAAACCTAGTCAAAACTGAGAAAAATTTCTAGTCCAACCAAAATGCTTGCAAAAGGAATGTTCCTGGATTCAAGCAGCAGATTTCTCTCTGAAATTTTTTGAGGTAGGATTTACTAGAGATTTGTTTAGCTCATATTTCTACTTTAGTTGCTGAGTTATCAATGTCTAGTAAAGTCATTATCCTGGGGGAAGCTAGAAATCCATAAATATTTTTAAAAATACACTGAAAATCAGAATCAAATGTGGATAGAGTAAGGAAAAAAAAAAAGAAATGTTTTTGTCCTTGGGAGAGGTGAGGCTCAAAATGACTCCAAAATAGGATGAAAAGGTGATAAAAATTCAGCACCAGCAGGAAAATCTCTAGAATCTAGCTAGAGGGTGGAATATGGTACACATTTAGATAAGCAGAGGAAGATATGTTTAAAAGGTTACCCAAATATCAATTCTTTATCCTTGTAAATGAACAAAATCCTTCTTGGCCAAACTCCTATTAAAATGAAACTTCAAAATTAGTTTCTGCAGCTTTAACCCTGAAAAGATTTGATGCAAAAGGTAGGATAAGTTCAATGAGAGAAGCGCCAAAAGTATTCAGTGCCTCAAGTTAATCATATCGAATTTAACTTCTCCCTAAGCCATGGAATGTGTGAAGGGTAGGCAAGCACCAGTCCTTGAAACCAAATGAAAGATTTGATCAGCTAAATTACTGGATTTAATATATCACATTCTCAGCACTGACAGCATTGGAGACATCCCCGGACCAAATACAGAACACAGAATAAGAACCTCATCCTCCAGATCTGAGAACAAATGCTTACGGGAGTCATCTTCAGCAGGGGTGGGACGGATTGCCAGGCTATTCTCAGTTGCAGAAACCTACAAAAAGGGTGGAGGGGGATTAAGAATCACATTAAAAATAAAAGAGCAAACTGCTGTTAATGCCATAAAAACCTGCTGACTCTAGTCAGTCACTGGCTGCCTGGGGGAAATAACGGGCCTCAGAACAGCTGAGCATTTAAACAAGAGGCAGCAAAATGTCTTTTATGAGGATATTAACATGCCTCTCAATTACAGAGTAACGGGAGAAACAGACTGCACTCAACTGCCAAGCGTGCATCATCTCCCTTTATAAAAGAACTTCTAAACCACATCTTTCTACTGTCAAAAAAAAAAAAAAAAAAAGGGCAAAACAAAACCCTCTATCAGAGAGAATAAAGCTTCTCACCATATAACTATAACTCTCCCCAAGCCAAGATGGAATCTTTACATTAGGAACTATTCTTATTCTTTTATCTTCCTCATTGCTAATTTCCCAACCAGATACATTCAGCTGAAACAAGCTTGGCAGTACAGAAGACACTTTGATAGCTAAACAACAAATTTACCTAAAACCAACCTCTGGTATTCTCTTCAAGGTTAGTTTTCCTTTTTGTTGTTGTTGTTTTTTCATGTTTTAGAGAGAGAGAGCAAGTGAGGAGTGAGAGTGGGGGAGGGGCAGAGAGAGAGGGAGACACAGAGTCGGAAACAGGCTCCAGGCTCTGAGCTGTCAGCACAGAGCCTGACACAGAGATCGAACCCACAAACCATGAGATAGAGACCTGAGCCAAAGTCGGAAGCTTAACCGACTGAGGCACCTGGGAGCCCCTTCCTTCTTAATCCCAGTTTCAAAACAGCAGAGTGTTTAACAAAATGGCAGATCTTGTGCATAGGTACAGATCTCTTCCCAGGAAGCCATCAAATTTAAATAAAAACTTTCTATGAGCTCTCCCTCTCCTTTCTGGTGTCCCAGGACGTCTAGGTATCCTCCTTCACACCCAAAATCACGAAGGGCCAATAGGTGACCAATGTGGAGTCTGCCTGTAACAGTCTTTCATTCAGATATCAGGGATTTTATGGGCAATGCTGAGTGTTTCTATTGAATAAATTTACAATGCAGATTGAGTCATTGGCTGACTGCACCTGAATTTATAGCAAGGTTGTTTTTTCTCATTACTCTGTTTTCATTACAGAAATTCTGACATGGGATAGAACAAACTGCTGTAATAACAGCTAACATTTACTGAGCATTTAGTATGTGCCAGGTATTGGAATAATCACCTTACATGCATTATGTCATTTAATGATAATGAAAGAAACTAAAAGCTCTTCAATTCCTGTTAATTAGTAGGTGCATCCATCTCAGGATGTTCTTCTCTCACCTCTAATTTTGGTCACCTTGAACGCGCAGGGTAAAGTTAATGCCAATCATGACATCATTGCACATGCCCAACCAGCTGACTTCACTACAGGAACAGCCAGGAGAGAGCATGTGAGATTTCTGCTCAAACATTTCATTAAAGAGAAGCACAGATTTGATCACAAGAGGACAAAGGGAAGAACAATACCTTGACAAAATATTCTATTTCAGACAAGTGCACCTAGTGTCCTTTTTTAACAAGCTGATGTTCCAATCGTTCTTAGGTATTGGTTAACAAAAGCTGGGCGAACAGCTGAAAGGTAAGCAAGGCTCTGAAAAATGTTATGAATTTGCCATGGGTTTATGGGTTTATGAACCTGCAGTGTGGTACGTGAAGATTATGTACTACTGTCTTTATCCCCTTTCCTTCCCACCCACTCCTCAATTCATGGTTTAGTGGCACTGATGCCTTTTAGGCTATAATTAAAATGTTTTGATCCTCCAGTTCGACTCAGAGTTCCAGTTTCAAATCAGTGTGAAGACCATCAAGAAGGAAACACAAAATCAGATTAGGGACAATCCAAGCATTATTTTCCGGATGACCATTTCTCAAATTATATGTTCCTAGGGTGGATGGGGGGATTTCAATGCTGGGAATATTTTTCTCTTAAAAATTTTTTTTTTTTGGTTTATTTATTTTGAGAAAGAGAGAGAAAGAGCAAGTAGGAGAGCAGAAGAGAGAGAGAATCCCAAGCAGCCTCCATGCCCAGCATGGAGCCCAACTAAGGAGTGGATCCCAGGAGTGTGAGATCATGACCTGAGCCGAAATCAAAGAGTATGCCACTTAACCCACTGAGCCACCCAGGCATCCTTTAAATTTCTTTTTTATAGTATGTAACATTTTAACTCAGTTCTTCTTCTTCTTCTTCTTCTTCTTCTTCTTCTTCTTCTTCTTCTTTTTTAAGATTTTACTTTTAAGTAATGTGTACACCCAACGTGGGGCTTGAACTCACGACCCTGAGATAAAGACCTGAGATCAAGGAGCACCTGGGTGGTTCAGTCAGTTAAGCATCTGACTTTGGCTTAGGCCATGATCTTGCAGTTTGTGAGTTTGAGCCTGTACTGGGCTTTGCACTGACAGTGTGGAGCCTGCTTGGGATTCTCTCCCTCTCTCTCTGTCCCTCCTCTGCTCATGCTTGCTCTTGCTCTCTCTCTCTCAAAACAAACTTAAAAAAACAATTGAAAGACCTGAGATCAAGGGTCAGATGCTTAAACGATTGAGCCACCCAAATGCCACAACTCAGTTATTCTTAAGACATAATCTCCCACTTAAAAATGGGAAAACCAGGTAGTCTAATAAGAGAACTCATTTGATACATGGCATGGGACTCATGGGACTAATGCATGAGCCCACTGTTGCAAGGACATGTGTAATTTACTGGATTTTATGATTATGAAATACACTACTGCTAAGTATTCTGTCCTACTATTTAAAATACATTTGCAATATGTTTTTGTCAAATAAAGTGATTTAATTTTTCTAATTTATTTCTCATTTTATCATATGATTCATATTTTGTAGCCATTAATCTGAGACCATTTTCCTGTGCACCTACTTAGTGTGTTTCATAAGTTTCGGTTGGTGTTCTGTCAATACATCACACTTTTTAAAAAAATGTTTATTCATTTTTGAGAGCGAGCGAGAGAGAGAGAGAGAGAGAGAGAGAGCACAAGTGGGGGTGGGGGCGGTGCAGAGAAACAGAGACACAGAATCTGAAGTAGGCTCCAGGCTCTGAGCTGTCAGCACATAGCCCAATGCAGAGCTCCAACTCACGACCTGGGCCAAAGTCAGACACTTAACTGACTGAGCCACCCAGGCACCCCAATACATGAAACTTTTTTTTTTAATGTTTTTTTATTTCTGAGAGAGAGACAGACAGACAGAGTGTGAGCAGAGGAGGGGCAGAGAGAGAGGGAGGCACAGAATCTGAAGCAGGCTCCAGGCTCTGAGCTGTCAGCACAGAGCTGGACGCGGGGCTCGAACCCACGAACTGTGAGATCATGACCTGAGCCAAAGTCGGACACCCAACCGACTGAGCCACTCAGGCGCCCCACATCAAACTTTTTAAAGTCTTTTATAGTCAAATAAATTTGAGAACTATTGCTCTTAATCCATTTTAATGATCTCTTCACCTTTTGGAAGAATGGCCTCAAGGTTATCAATATGTGTAACAGAAACAATGATTTTTCTCCTAAAATTAATCACTGTAATATATTTGAAAGCTCTTTCTCCTCATCTAACTTAACATTTGACATTGACCAAAAGCCAAAGGAAATTGGGTAATGGATTGGCAGAGAAAATTATAAATTCACCTGATATAAATGTTGTGACTTACTCCGACCAAGCCATTCATCTAATCATGGCTGCATAGAATGCAAATATGATTTGCTTAAAATCTTCCCATCGTTTTCCACCTCTGCAGGACTCTTTCCAAAGTCTTAAGCTTGGCATAGAGAGCTTTTTAAGACCCGCCCTGGCTCTCCCTCCATTTGTCTCTCCTTTACCTGTATGTGCCTTGTATTCCAGCCAAGCCATCTTGGTTTGGAGCTCTGGTTTCCAAACCTCTGTTTGTGTCTGCCTGGGGTGCCCTTCTTACTCTTTACTTAGCCTTTCCCTTACTCACTTGGTCTCTTTCCACATATTCTTCAGGACTTGGCTCAGACATCACCTTCTTGAGGAAGTCGGGTTAAACGTCCTTAGTCTGAGCTTCCATGGCCCCACAGAGCCTTCTCACAACACTTACCATATTGCTTTTTAACAGCCAACCTGTTACTCATCTCCCTTCTACTCTGTTAGCTTCCTTGCAGATAAAGACCACATGGAATGGTCTGCTCACACTGAGTTGCTAAGCTTAGTATTTCCTGTGCTTAGCATGGTGCCTAGCTTTCAAAATAGTTTGAGTGAAAGAATGAAATGGTCTTGCATAAAATGTGTTAAATTAAGAATACACAAATACTTTGAAGATAGGATCGCTAATCAAAACAGATTTTTTAAAATCACTTTAGCTCTACGCCATCTGAGCATTTGCTGAGCAAAAGAATTTTCCAGTGAAGGTTCATTATTTGGTCAGCTATAAGTTGCAGAGTTCCCCAACTAAAATTATGTGACCTGCAAAAATGACAATCTGTCCTGGCAGCTGTTACCAAATTCCCAGACACTCTGCAGCCTACAGTTAGAGTTGTTTCTAATTTTAAGCATCTAATTTAGAACACATGCTTCCTTGGCAACTGGACATCAGACTCTTCAACCCACCTTTTCTCCAACCTGATGGGAGATGCAGACCTCAGGATCTGGGGGCACATTCTCCTTTTGCTCCAACTTATGAGTTTTTATTTCACCACCATTGGCTCTCAAGTCATTCTAGAAAATAAAAATAATCTGTGAGCTAAAATTAAAAATCTCACGATTCTACGCTCTTCATAGCACATCTATTAAATAAACTTGGAATGGTAAAAGAAAAGTTCTTTTAAGAGGCCTTGGGTCAAATCAACCCCCTAATTCTCACAAGCAAAACCCATTTACTAGTGAAATGACAAAAGCAGCTTTGTGGACACATACCTCGGAGTTAAATATTTGTACGCTAGTCTAAAACTGGATGCTCATTAGAATACAGACATATCAACACAGACACACACAGAAACCACCCCCAGCATACAGTTTTCTTGTGATTCACTCCTCTAGCAGCAGAGCTCGTGGGAATGCAAAGCTTGTGAGTTTTATCAGAAAAGACCATTCTGGAGCAGGGGAAAGGAAATGCCAAGTGCCAATAATTAAGAAAATATACTGACCATATATAGAAATGCTCGGCCTGGAAAGAGAGACAGGGATGATGCATACATATAAAAGCGGAGATTATATTTAACGATACCATAAAACAACCTTTTTTGTGAGACTTTCAAAAACATGCTTCTTTTTTGCATCAAAGTCATACATTGTACTAAAGACATACCTTATTCTACTTCTCAGAACAAAGCCTCAACATATAAAAAGCAGGCATTAACACTGTCATATGGAGTAAGCATAATCACATGTTTTTCCTTGCAAAGAACACTTGGGGCAAAATATTAAAATTAACTTTATCGACTAGATCCAAAGTTAATATAGTGGTAGATGAATATGGACATTTCCTAACCTTTAGTCTGCCACCTTTCTGAAAGGCTAGTACCTTTCTGTTGTTTGCGATTCTTTTTTTTTTTTTAATTTTTTTTTTCAACGTTTATTTATTTTTGGGACAGAGAGAGACAGAGCATGAACAGGGGAGGGGCAGAGAGAGAGAGGGAGACACAGAATCAGAAACAGGCTCCAGGCTCTGAGCCATCAGCCCAGAGCCCGACGCGGGGCTCGAACTCACGGACCGCGAGATCGTGACCTAGTCTGCCACCTTTCTGAAAGGCTAGTACCTTTCTGTTGTTTGCGATTCTTTAGGCAGGGCGAGAAAACAAGCAATTTATGGCCTCGGGGCCAGTGAAGAGGGTGTGAGTGTGAGTGTGCTGGCTGAGGTATGGGCTCCCAGACTAAGGGACGCGACTCTGGAGGAACATCTGTGAGGAGCTGGCGGCCAGAGCTGCAGAACACAACAGGCCAGCCCAAGGACTCAATTCTGACCCCATCTCAAAGCCCTGCCTCCAGAATCACGGCCTGAGAGTGTGCGCCTAGTTACAGCCATCCTCTGTAAGGAGCCTGAGAAATTCTTTGGGGATGAGATAAAATGTACTTTTGACAAGAATTCCTAAAGGCTCTTAAAATTTACAGAGCAGGAGAACGGCAATGCATAAACTCTATTAGGAGTTTAAAAAAAAAAAAAAAAAGTCACAGAACAGGTTTTTCCACCTAGGGAGTCACCTGGTCGGAATGTTTGTAGCAGGAAGACTGAGAAGCAGCAGAATCTTGAAAAGAAGGACTTATGCTCCAAAGATCACCCATTTGCCCTATCTCTTGACCTGCCTTCTAAGTCTAATTTTGCTCATTTTCACACTCAGGGAATAATGAGCCTGTGGTGTTCCACTTTGCTTTCAAATTATGCACATCCTCTCTTCTAAAAAGCACAGTGAAAAATCACGATGAAATTATTCGTTGCCCAGAGACAGAGTCCACGGGTAACTGCTACTAGAGAATGCATACTTAATAATATGAGGAAAAGAAGGCTCCACTCCTGGAATACATGTGATGATTTCTAATAGATACTAGTTTCGGTCTGCCCAGGAACAAGTAAAATTCAACGCTCTTCTTGGAACTTTGTTTAAAAAAAAAAAGGACACCAATAGGTTCATAGCTTGTATTTTTAAATCTTAGAAGGATCATATGTTTGAAAGATACACATAAAATATACATATGTACGGTGTCTATATGCATGTGTATATATGAATAAATGGCATTTGAAAGGTAACTTCTGGTAAGCAGTTCTGTAGTGTCAGCTTGCCAATTAAGCCTAGGAAAGTTTAAAATGGAAAATCCTAGGGGCGCCTGGGTGGCGCAGTCGGTTAAGCGTCCGACTTCAGCCAGGTCACGATCTCGCGGTCTGTGAGTTCGAGCCCCGCATCAGGCTCTGGGCTGACGGCTCAGAGCCTGGAGCCTGTTTCCGATTCTGTGTCTCCCTCTCTCTCTGCCCCTCCCCCGTTCATGCTCTGTCTCTCTCTGTCCCAAAAATAAATAAACGTTGAAAAAAAAAATTAAAAAAAAAAATAAAATGGAAAATCCTATTTAGAATAACAAATTTTGTGATTACTGAGCAAGCCATCTTGTTATTTCCCCCTCCCCTTTACTTATCTACTATACTATTTCTTTAGAAAATCATTACATCATAAGAGGTAAAGATTAAGTGCACCACATATTATATGATTCATTTATATAAAATGTGCAGAATAGTAAATCCATTGAAGACAGAAAGCAGGGGGAATTGGGAGTGACTACACAGATATGGGGTTTCTTTTTGGGGTGATGGAAATATTCTGGAATTAGACAGTGATGATGAGTGTACAACATTAATGTTGAATATATCCTATATTTCTCTCCAGTATTCTCTCTTTCCTCAAAAACAAAAATGGGGCACCCGGGTGGCTCAGTCGGTTGAGCATCCGACTTTGGCTCAGGTCATGATCTCACGGTCTGTGGGTTCAAGCCCCACATCGGGCTCTGTGCTGACAGCTCAGAGCTTGGAGCCTGCTTCCGATCCTGTGTCTCCCTCTCTCTCTGCCTCTCTCCCACTTTCACTTTGTCTCACTCTGTCTCTCAAAAATAAATAAATGTAAAAAAACAAAAATAAGTGTTTCTGTTAAAACTAACAGATGACACTTTTTTAGCAACAACAGCAAATTAAGTAGAAGAGACAGGAAAACTCTCAATATTACTGGATGATAACATCACACACACAAAAATGAGTGGGGTGGGAATAAGGCCTAGGAAAGCAAAGTCAGTATTAGAACACGGTAAGGATTTTGAATGAGGCTAGGGTAGGATTTACAAGAAAAGAGAATGGCTGGGGACCAGGGACGGAGCCAGGGCTCCAAGTCAGGGTCTGGGAGACATTTCTAGTTTCTGCGCTCAGTGACCATTTGCCAGATGAGGGAATGAACGAATGAATGAATGGTACAGAACACATACTGTGTAGTTGGTGGAACTACTTTGTTTGGAGACAGCTGCCTGGTACTTGGCCATTCGATCCTTTATGGAGGTTTCTGACAGGCGTGGTAAGTCCAGATTTCGCCTGCTCTCGCTTTTCTCTGAGTTGAATGCAGAAGATGACAGTTGACCTGGAAGCATGCAAATAATGTGCTTTACAAGAAGTTAAAACGGGATTTGAATGATTTTCAGATTCTAAATTTTGGGCTACTATAATTCTTTGTATTATCTTTGTATTAAAAATACAAAGAAGGGTACCTGGGTGGCTCAGTTGGTGAAGCATATGACTCTTGGTTTTGGCTCAAGTCATGATCTCAGGATGGTGGGATCAAGTCCACAGTGGGCTCTGCGCTGAGCATGGAGTCCCCTTAAGATTCTCTCTCTCTCTCTCTCTCTGTCTCTCTCTCTCTCTCTCTGCCCCTCTCTCCCTCTCCCCTCTCTCCCTTTGCTCCTCTCCTCTGCTTGTGCTCTCTCTCTCTCTAAAAAAAAAAAAAAAAAAAAAGTACAAAGAAGCGGGGGTGCCATTTTAATTTGCATTTCTTTATCAGGAGGCTGATAATTTGCCTGTTAATTTTTTCTTTTGTGAAGTGCTTGTAAATGCCCCTTTCAAAACATAGTAATTATGCTCTCAAGGCATTCTGTTACCACCAGTAATATAAGATAACCAATCTTTTTCATTTTTTTATTTTAGAGAGAGAGAGCACAAGCAGGAGAGAGGAGCAGAGAGAGAGAGAAAGAGAGAGAGAGGAGACAGAATCTTAAGCAGGCTCCACACACAGCATGGAGCCCAACACGGGGCTTGATTCCATGACCCTGAGATCATGACTGAAGCTGAAATCAAGAGTCAGATGCTTAACTGACTGAGCTGCCCACGTGCCCCAGGATAACCAATCTTGACAGAGGGAACCGCCCATCCATGACAGCCCTCAAGCCCCAGATGCCCATGAAGCCAAAACTGCTGGCATTATTTGCCTTGTAATCCCACAAGGGTACACCTTGGCTTTCACAAATAGACTTCCTTTAAAAAAAACTTTTTTTAATGTGTTTAATTTTGAGAGAGACAGAGAGAGACAGAGTGCAAGTGAGGGAGGAACACAGAGAGAGAGAGACACAGACTCTGAAGCAGGCTCCAGCTCTGACCTGCCAGCAGAGCCTGAAGCGGGGCTTGAACCCACTAACCAAGAGATCATGACCTGAGCTGAAGTTGGACATTCAACCAATGGAGCCACCCAGGCACCCCCACAGACTTCCTTTTAATTTGTGCCACTCTTCTCTAAAAGCTTTGAGCATGAGACCAAAAGGTATAGCTACTTATGAGTATTTCCTAGGGAACTTCACATACATGGAACTCTGCTTACCTGGGCCTATTTCCAAATCATCCAGAGAATAGCTGTTTTCAGAGATCCTCCTTCCACCTGCACTACGGCTTTGGGTCCGAAGAATCTGCTTGGAAAACAAAACCCAGCAAGAAGGTTTACACAGGAGATGGGAAATCTTGATGAATGTTCAGAAAAGAGGTCTGCAAATCTCTTTTATTAACAAAATCCACAAGGAATTAGATTTTACATTTGTTTTTACATTCCACAGAATGTGTTTTTAGCATTATAAATATGAAGCAGTACATATTCACAGGTGCCCAGGGAAAAATAAGTAACTGTATATAGGTAATTCTCTCTGGTAATCATCACTGCCTAATCAGCTTAACCAGAAAACTTAGTAATTTAAACAGCATGGAGGTGAATCCTCATGCCCCAGATGATACTGACATGTCTCCCAAACTGCTAAGTCCGGATCGATGGCTGTTACCTACCTGCTCTTTGTTTCCCCGCTCCCTCCCACTTTATCCTTGCTGTTGCTGCCTTGGTTCCCATCGTCATCTTTTCCTTGGACTATTGCATTACATTTCTAATCAGTTCTTCTATACCTTCCAATCAAGTCTGTATGATGCTGCCATTATCCCAAGTCATAGAAAGTAATTATCCCCCAATATAAATCTATATCACTCCCTTGTTCAAAATTCTTTAAAAATTCCTAATCACTCCTTACATTAAATCTAAAGTGCTTAGTATGTCACAGAAGACCCATTCTACATCTGGTCCCTACCTACCTACCTTCTCTGAGTATTCCCTTCCTCACTCTTTACCCTCCAGGAAAAGCAAACTGCTGTGAGGTCCATATTATACATGAGTTCCCTTCTCCCATTACCCTTTTGTCCCTCTGGTTGTCTGTTCCTTCAAGATTCGGGGGAGGCTGAGCAACCTTCTCTCTGTGAAGTACACCTTATCTCTCCTACCTAAATCTAAGTTGCCCTCCCTCTGTTTCTAAGGTCCCTGGCCACACTTCCATTACAACGCTTATTGTGTGTCCCTGGCAGAGACCATGTTTTTTGTTTTTTAAATGGAAAAGTGGGTGGTACAGATTTTTTTAATACGTTATTTTGTGATTCCTATAAATTACTACATTTATATCTCTCACATCTAGGGTAGATCTCTAATTAAAGTTACAAATTATAATTTTTAAGCCTGGAAAAGTAACTCAAGAGAAAGTCATTTAGTGTCACAGAATGTTCCCAGACATGGTACACAGAGGGTATGTCATGTTTATTCAGCTTGTAATGAGAGCCTTCAACCAGATCCTATCATTCAAATCTCAACTTATTTCCAGATAACTTGAAGTAGGAAAGATATCTGAAATCTGGTATGACAGGAGATAAGAGTAAAACACTTAGCACTCTTCTGAATTCAACATTAGTAAATCGCTATTAAACCTTTACGTTCAATGGGCTAATCAAGTCAACAGTAAAGTTTGAGACTGTGAACTATCATTTTTTCGATCCTCCCCCACCTCCACTGAGACAGAAAACATGCCGCTTCAGAAATCAGAGCCACAGGCTGGTTTGTTTGTACCACACCAATGACAATAGTTTCTTGTAAATTCAACATACACTTAATATCATTTATTTTCAGTCGGCTTTGCTATTAACATTATGAATTGATAAAAAAAAATAAAATAATAGATAGCAACTCTAACCTTGCCACACCATACTCAGGTAAGCTGCACCAACATCAACCACACCCATGTGACTTACATGACGCAACAGATAATGAACATCATCAGCCAAACAAACAGATAAGTTTGGCAGGATACCCTCCCCATCCACGTTTTTTCATCTTCAAAACATTGTTCATTTGCAGATAATTAAAGTAAAGGAAATTCCAAAGACTTATTCTGAATGCTGCTTCACTGTAAGAGGAGTATTATAAAAGAATTTTCCGGGCTCAAAAAAGGGAGAGAGCCTGCAAATACACTTTTTTTTTTTTTTAACCGAAAGGGAACAGCTTCTGAATCCTTAATACTGAAGCAATATTTCCAATATTTACATGCTGTCAAAGGTAAAGTTCAATTCTAAGAGTATGTGTTATCTGCCGCAACCTGCAGAGAGCTGTTTTCTGTCTGTACTCATGGTCAAGTCCCTCTCAGCCTCCTGCAGAGTCCCTGCACTGGCATAACTGGCAGCAAGCTCATTTAGAACCAGGACATATGCCTTGCCAGGGCAGAGGCTTACTTTGGTTTTAGGCGCATAATATTTTCCATCTTTGCTCGCTTTTAATTTAAACCTTCAGGTTAAATGAAGTCAAGAGCCTTTTTCTTTTTTAAAGCCTTCAGGTTCATGAGGGTATCAGTACTTGGAATTGTTTTCTTCCAAATACTAAAAAAATGACTGTGCAAAGCCACTTGGTCTTAAAGAAGAAATAGAGAGAACTGTCTCTGGAAATCAAAGTTATACTGATGCTGGTTCTGAGGAGGACCACAGCTCTGAGATGGGAAAGCTTTTAATGAGATTCCAGGCAAAGCACGAAGCATTTCTTTTGATACCATTTCACCTCCAAATCCTTCAAATATTAAGAATAACAAAAACTCGGGGCACCTGGCTGGCTCAGTCGGTTGAGCGGCCGACTTCGGCTCAGGTCATGATTTCGCGGTCCGTGAGTTCAAGCCCTGCGTCGGGCTTTGTGCTGACAGCTCAGAGCCTGGAGCCTGTTTCAGATTGTGTCTCCCTCTCTCTGACCCTCCCCCGTTCATGCTCTGTCTCTCTCTGTCTCAAAAATAAATAAACGTTAAAAAAAATTTTTTTTAAAGAATAACAAAAACTCAGAAGCATTTACGATGAATTTTATGATCCTCATTTTATAAGTGGTAATTTGAGGTACAGGAAGAAGGAGGAGTTTCCTCTAACATTTCTCAAGGAAGTAGAAACACACACACACACACACACACACACACACACACACACACCCAGGAATTCTGATACTGAAATACTTTTCTGTAACACACTTTTATCACATTTCGGCCCTGTTTACTCAGATGCCTGAGGGAGCCTTTTAAGAGAAGAGAGAAAAGACAAGACACTTTAAGACTTTCTGGAATTTCCTAAGGCTTGGCCTCCCCCCAACCCACAAGTCCTCTTTCCTGTCAGCTGACTATAGTAACTCTCATTAGTGGGAACGCCTCTTTAAATAGTCACTGAGAATCCTTAAACCAAATGTATCAACACGTACCCTTAGGAGAACAAGAGCTTAGGGCTTTTAGCTAGTGGTCTGCAGAATTTCTTTTCTCTGGAAAATTTTCTTAAAGAAATATAGTAAGTGAGGTCTCAAATATCAAGTAAAATGCAGGATTTCCTATCCCCATAATTTTTAGGAAAAATTCTGTTTAAAAGTTGATTCTCAACACTTTATAATTTACCTTCTACCTCTCTCAACCACTTTCTTCAACCTTTCAAGTCTGACCTTCCTTCAGACTCTCATCCCTGAAAGTCAAGGGTAGAGGAAGGATGGCCTTTAGGGAAAATAGCACTTTGCTGAACTATCCATAGCATGTAGACAAAACCTAGCCTTAATTTCTCAAAGTACTGAGAGACAAACATTGCCTTCTTCAGGTAGAAAAAAAAACAGAAAAAATAAAGATCTTTTAAGTAGAACAATAATATATAGAAGGAGCAGTTGCATCCAGGTTGTGGGATTTCTCTATATTTTCTGTATTCTAAGCATTCTACAAAAACTATGTGTATATTCTTTACAATGTTTTTAATGTTTATTTTTGAGAGAGACAGAGTGTGAGCGGGGGAGGGGCCGAGAGAGAGAGAGAGAGAAAGAGAGAGAGAGGCAGAATCTGAAGCAAGTTCCAGGCTCTAAGTTGTCAGCACAGAGCCCAACATGGGGTTCGAACTCATGAACCACGAAATCATGACCTAAGCCCAAGTTGGATGCTTAACCAACTGAGTCACCCAGGCGCCCCAACTATGTGTATATTCTTACAATTAGGGGGAAAAAGAAAAGGAAGGAGAAGTAATTTATTAATATAAATAGATAAAAATGATAAAATCAAATGCTGACAAGGTGCTAGAGAATTAAATATGTTCTTAGGCTATGCTAATAGTATTATAAAGTAGTACAATCTTTGAGAACAGCTGAGAATATGTAAGAAGAATGTTTAATGAATTATATACTTTTGGTCATGAGAATACCACTTTAGTAATATAGCTCTCCCCCTAAAATAACTAAAAACAAAATGTTTCTGCCACGATGCTTAGAGTTTTTTATTAGGCTCGAAAAATATCTAATTACTGGGGCATAATTAAACCATAATGAAATACTATATTGCTATAAACGGAGAACCACATGAACTAGGAAGATACATAGAAAAGTCAATATAAAAAAGACCAAACAAAAGATAAAGCACACAAAACAGCACACAGGGACTAAAACCATGTAAAAACTAGTCATGCAGTGATAGCATATCATTGTGCACAGTTGTTTTATTATTTTTTCCTGATAAAAGTTACTGGTTTTTCCTGGTTTACTTGGCTTTTTCTTCTTCTGTTTACTGTGTGTGTGTGTGTGGGGGGGGGGGGGAGAGAGGGAGGGAGAGAGAGAGACAGAGAGCAGAGAGAGAGAGACAGAGAGAAACAGAATCCCAAGAAGGTTCCACACTGTCAGTACAGAGCCAGATGTAGGGCTTGAACTGACAAACCCATGAGATCATGACCTGAGCCAAAATCAAGAGTCTGATGCTCAAACCACTGAGCCACCCAAGCACCCTGAAATCTCTTGCATTCCAGCATGTTTCTTGTCTTCATTGCCCTAACGCTTCTAATTCAGTTACAAGGGGTGCCTGAGTGGCTCAGTCAGTTAAGTGTCTAACTATTGGTTTCGGCTCAGGTCATGATCTCTTGGGTTCATGAGTTCAAGCCCTGCATTGGGATCCACACTGACAGTGTGGAGCCTGCTTGGGATTCTCTTTCTCCCTCTCTCTCTGCCCCTCCCCTGCTCATGCTCTCTCTCTAAAAATAAATAAATAAACTTAAAAAATTTTAAATTCAGTTATGAGACTATAAAGCGTGGGAAGAGGGAAGATAGAGAGCTAAAGTCTTTGAGGATACAACT